CCTGCATGGAGCACCATGCCCCTCCTCCACCTCCTAAAATAAATAAAATCTTAAAAAAAAAAAAACTCAGGTTCTAAAATCTCCCCAAGTTAATATCCTCTACAATGTCTCCTTTCTGTCCAATTGCTAGTTTCTGCTTTTATTAAATTTTCCCCACAAGATTGATTTGTAAGTATTTACTTGAACCAAAATCTCAAAGTTGAGGAAAATCTATAATGGAAGTAAATCCATTTATACAAAAATTTTGTGTAAGAATCACTTTTAGTTAAAAAGGTGTTGTTTATCCACTACATTACGAGGTAAATAAGGCTTCCTAACTTGCCTTGAGTTCAGTGAAAAATGCCTCTTCCAAGAATGCACTTGTAAACAAACTTTTGGAACACAAACTATCAAACACATGTGTAGCACCTGGCTATTTCAATTTGCAGTTGACAGCTTCTAACAGTTCTCTATTTAAAGTTTCATGAAACATAGTAACACTAAGATTAATAATTGTTTTCCTTCTTAAAGATTTTCAACAGTTTAACATCTACATTTCTGTGAGCTTTATTTCCAGTTAAAAAAAAAACAACTAGCAAATTAGCATGTCCCGAAATTCTTGAGGGAAAGACTAAATGTTTTAACCCATATTTTAGTAAGTTATTTCTCTAAAAATGGTATATATTTCTTCCCCCTTCAGAACTAGTATGAGCTAGATGAATGCAATAGTGAGAATAAAACTCTTAAGGAATAAATGCATGAGTCCCAAATGCCTATGGTAAAATTTTGTCTATCAAAAAGGTACTTTGGAAGGAATTAGGCCTTAGAGAACGTGGTAGTTTAAATCAATATGGCTGTCTCATTTGACTCATTTTAAATAAACAACTCTACATAGCTAATACCATTTCAATTACTAGCACAGAATTTCAAAGGGAAGTGGGGGGTGGGGGATTAAAATTAAGATATTGGTTGTAGATTATTTCATTTTATAATGGATGCCCCAATTTTTAAACACATGGTATTACTGGGAATTGTTGAAGTAACAACTACTATATCTAGAAATAATCTTAATTTCATAATCTCAATTTTTCTTTTATTTCAAAATATCTTACATATGCACAGGAAAAGAAGTTCATCTTCAGGAAGAGAATAATGGAATTAACACTATCTTAGCTTTCAAAATGATTAAAATGGCTTGTAAAAACCAGGAAAAACAATACTTAAAAAAAGACTTTTAAGAATTCTGAAATTGAAACTTTATTTTTCATTTGTATGACTTGAACTTTGTAACACCAAAATGGAAAGGGCGTGTGTATGTATAAGTATGAGCCACTTACATCTACACTACCCACCCCAAAAGGACAGAGAAAGTACACCAATGTTATAAAACAGGTTTATTCTGCAATACTTTATCATAATGAATTGCATCTCTTTGGTAAAAATAAACTTTATAAACATTTTAATAATCAGAGATTAGATACAAAAACTAAATATCTGTTAGGTTGCTTTTAGTATGAACAAAGACTGGCAACTGAGAAGTGGTTCACTTGTGACTGGTCATCTACTGGCAGTTATAACTCAAACTCAGGGCAATTTTTATGCTACATTAGAAAAGAGGATAAGGAAACCAGTTTAATAACTCAAATTTCTTGAATCAGAAAGCATTCTTACACTTTCATTTGAAAATAAATAGTAGTTACAGTGAATTGGCAATTATACATTTTTATACACTATATGATGGCAACATAATACTTTAAAATGAAGCACTTAGTTTAATAAGAAATGTACAACAATGGCACTGGCAGTTAGATGCAGAAATAAATGTGCTTTAAGAAAAAATGGCAGGTATAACATTAAAATACTCTACTTTGTCTTTCAATAAATATTTTGAGTACATCATTAATATAGTGAAGTAAACTTTGTTTAAATCAAAGTTTACATATTTCAAACTAACAAAAAAAAACCTGTAAAGTATATGTAAACCAGAAAGCCTTTAATTAAATGCGTGGTCTTCACAAATGGTTGTTAAGTTACTGTAGTATTTAAGACAAAATCTTTACAGCTTTGTGAATTATTCACATCTGTTGATTAAATTGCTAGGAAAGGCCTCCTGGTCTACAAAGACACACATTCCCTCAACACTTTCTCTACCTTTGAATTCGTGCTTACATATATTTAACTGACCACCTAATACGAACCTTTTACATAATGCCTCAGAAAGTAGCAAAAGAAAAAAAAATATATTCTAAGCCTTACTATATACAGGGGAATCTAAGTTAAGAGAAGTCATGCTGGCTATAGGGAGGAAAGGAAAGCCTCAAAGGTGGAAAAAAGGAGGCAATCCACCAATAATTAGATTTTCCATGAATACAAGTATGTTTTCTTTCTCTGAATTTGAAAGGTAAAATAAAATATTAATGAATTTAGTAATATATTGCACAAATAAATTTCAAAAATCTATATTCAAGAAACACTGATTCTATTTGGGATGGGAAAGATGAAGATTAATTGTGCTGAGTCAAAACTTCACTAGAAATCTATTATAAACTAGAATCGGTTGTAACAATTTATATTGATGTAAGGCAAATTATGTTAGCTTAAATCACAGTCTTAAAATATGCTGGAACATATATAACCTCTCTGGGATTGCCAAACTGTTTCTATTACAGTATAATTTATTAATATATTATTAGAAATACAATTTCCAGTCCATAGGACTTGAAACGACTTTCCTTAATTGGGTGGTTATTAGCCATGTTTTTATCTCAACACACCTGAGGAATGGGATCATAGTATCTATGAAAGTAATAATGGGGGAATCAATTAAAAAGGTACTTCCCCTTGAAAATAACTGCCTTGGTAAATCAGCAAATGGAAAAAGTGATGCACTGAATTCTGTATATTAAGTGTAAAATACCATATGACTTCTTCCCATTAGCTTTTAGTATGAAAGCGTTCATTGTCTTTGCTAGTGATGCATTTAAATTTTTAAATTCAAAGAGGGAGAGAATATTAAGTTTAAAGAATTACTGTTATTTATATTAAGCCAAAATAATTTTGAAGATCCCTCTTAAAGGGGGAACAACTCTCCCCCTCTTTATCTTAAATCATCCTCCTCTGCTTACGAAGAGTAATTATCTAATGGACAGGAATCAGAGAGAACATCTGTGGTACAGAATTTCAGTAGAACAAAATAAACTGGAACCAGGTCACTGAAACACACTGTTACTAAGGTCTATCCAGAGGGCCACCATAAACAGCTTTAAGATATTGTTATTGAAATGATTTTTATAATCTGTGTACTATTTATACTGTGGTATAAGCATTTTTTGGTGTGTTATAGTCACTGTCTATGTAAAAGGTGTTAACTTGGATTAGCCATTTTCTGTAGATGTGACAAAAATGAAGAAAAAAACAACCCCAAATACCTCATCCTGCATACTTAAAAACTATTTTTCATTATCAACAAATTTAAAAATTACTGTATTTCAACAGCACCGATTCTATTAATGTGGCTATCCAAGTTCAATTACAATTAACATGGAAACAGGACAGATAATATTAATGTTGTTATCCCTGGCTCTGGCTTAAAGTTTTGCCAATTGAAAAAGATGTTTTCATTATGCTTCTCATTTGACAGTTTTGCCCAAATAAAATTTACAAGTTAAAATAAAAATACCTCTTAAAAAAAAATCCAAGAAAATGCTTTAGTCATAGAAACAGCTGAAAGTAACCAACCAAAATCACGAGCCTATGTATGTATGTATATGTATATAGAAATTATCAGAAAAATGAAAACAAGGTCATTGTTATAAAACAGAATGCACCATGAGATAAGACTGAATTTTGGAAAGTTGCTTCCACCACCATAAAAAATATAGATAGTAAGTTTGGTTTTATTAGTATCCTGTGTTCTTTCTAAATTAATATAGTCAAACTATAAAAATGATATGGAAAAATGTCTCATAGAAGCAGATTTGTTCAAATACTTAAAATGCCTTGTCAATGCACCTTTGGAACAGCAATATAAAATCTTTTTGCATGGAACAAATGGCACATACGTTATTATATTGCCTCCCCCAAAGGGTGTACTGTATAAGATTTAATTTTATATGAATTTTGAAACTCATGAAGGTACTTGGTTTCTACAGTTTTGTTAAATCCTTTTAAATTTAATTAGGAATACATACAAACTTAATTCATACAAACCTTGGACAGAAGTTTTTTCCTAAATGATCTATCTTTATTTAAGAGGACATAAGTAGTAAGTATTCAAAATGTTTATATTACACTCCATTCCTACTACAAAATTCCCAGAATGCAGTCCATTTAACAACAAATGAAAGATTCTCTTATTGCAAAAAGTGCGTCAAAATGAGTGTTAACTCCATAACATACTTTATGGCTATATCCTCTCACTGGGTTATTTTTACTCAACAAAGACAGCTAGTGGCTAAAATGGTTGCAAAGCACTTTGGGAATGAACAAAAGGCCCCAATAAATGTTATGCAACATCTGGGAAGTAAAAAAAAATTCAAAGATAATATTATAATAGGAATTGGAGTGTTCTTATTTGAAATTTTACCACAAAACTGCCTTTTCTAAATTTCAAAACTCTTTGCTATACTTCCTGCCTATGTAGCCAAAAGGAGCTTTCTAGACATCTAGGACCTTTTCCAATTTATATTCAACTTTGTCCATGCTTCAACAAAAGACAAAATAAAAATTAAGACAAAATAAAAAATCCAAATCTCATTCTACTGGATTGCATGTGTCCAGAGAGAAGTATGTGAGAAAGACATCAGCAACATTTTTAGCTGGATCAGCAACTACAGTTAATTACAAATGATTGGAAAAGAAAATGAAAAAAAGTTACAGAGTTGCCAATTCTTACACTTTAACACATTAACAGAATAAAAGATTTTTCCTACAAGTTTTAAGACAGGCTGTGGATTTTCTTATATAAAAATTTCCAAATCTTAGAGACACTTATCACAAAAATTATGCTTTTAGGACTTGGCAGCGTATCTATGGTTGGGCATGATCCTAACAGCAATTATTTAATAAAAATCAAAACAAACATGTTGTGAAATAAACAAGTAATTAGCACCCTTCCCCCACCCTAAAACAAAAAAAGTCCATTATGGCTTTGATATCCCTGGTAAAGAATTAAGTAGAAGAGTATTGCCACACTTTAAAATAATTTCACACTAATAAGTATTTCTATTTTTTCCGCTGCTTTTGATTTTGTGTCTTTGCAGTACTTATTAGGGAACCCAGACATGTTCGGATCCCAGCAAGGTGGAGCAGAGATCCAGCTGCCTCTTTGAGCTCCTCATCAATTTCTTGACATAACTGTTTGCGCATCTTTTTGCCTGGCTGCCCTTTTTCAGAGGCATCTGCACAAGCCTGTGATGCATAGCCACTGTCTCCAAGAGGATCATCTTCATAATCAACATCTGTATCTTCTTCACTGTGAAATCCTTCGCTGCCATCACTTCCCACATGGCTACTCTTTGGGATAAATTCATATGCCTCATCCACAGAGGACAGAGAAGACACACTAGACCTGGACGCACAGCGCTGTGCGGCCATGCTGCTTGCACTGTAATTGTGGTCTTCTTTTGGATCAATGCTCGTGGCCAAAGAATCACTCTCTTGCAATCGCACACTACTGGGATGATTAAATGCATTGCTGTAACTCCTCTTTTTTTGCATTGCTGTTTTAAGAGGAAGAGGCTTCTCACCTGTGGAAAAGAAAACTTCCATCAATAGGTCAAATGCATCTGATTGCAAGAAAAGGCCATTTAAACTACTGTATCACTACTGAGTAGTGCTTTAGGGTTAGTAATGTTCTGTAGGTTTTTGTTCACTTGTTTCTTTTTTTTACTTAGACCACATATCATCCTGTAGGTATTAACTTGAAATATTTTAAAATCACTTAATGGTATGTCTTGACCTTTCCATGAAAAATATAATTGTTTTGAGCTGTTCGTACAGAATGCCTCAATGGGAATGTGCCACTGTTGAGCTAACCATTTTCTTATTGATATTTAGGTTTTCCCAATTTTTCACTACTGTGAATAATATTGCAATGAAAATCATTCTAGACGCCTCTTCTTACACATATGCAAATATTCTTCCAGAATACCAAGGAACAGAATTATTAAGTAAAAGAATATATACATTTCAAATTATAATTTTTTTTTTTAACTGAAGTATAGTTTACATACAATCTTATATTAGTTTTAGGAGTACAACATAGTGATTTGATAATTCTATATATATTATGTAATGCTCACCTTGTGTAGTCACCATATAAAGTTATTACAATATTATTGACTATATTCCCTATGCTGTACTTTTTAACTCCCTGTGATTTATTTTTTAACTGGAAATTTGTAACCTCTTAATTGCCTGCACTTATTTCACTCACCCCACCACCCTCCTTCCCCCTGGCAACCACCAGTTTGTTCTCTGTATTTATAAGTCTGTTTGTTTGTTTTTTTAAGATTCTACTTACTTATTTGACAGAGAGAGCACAGGTGTGCCATGTGCACAAACGGGGAGCGGCAGGCAGAGGGAGAAGCAGGCCCTAGCACTCTGGGATCATGACCTGAGCCAAAGGCAGATGCTTAACTGACTGAGCCACCCAGATGTCCGTTTTTTTTTTTTTTTCCTAAGATTTTTATTTATTTGACAGAGAGAGAACAAGTGAGGAGAGGGGCAGATGGGGAGGGAGAGGGACAAGCACACTCCACACTGAACATGGAGCCTCATCTCAGGGCTCCATCTCACGACCCTGAGATCATGACCTGAGCCAAAATGGAGAGTCAGGCACTTAACGGACTGAGCCATCCAGGCATCCATTTGTTTTTGGTTTGTTCATTTGTTTTGTTTTGTAGATTCCATATGAGTGAAATCATATGGAATTTGTCTTTCTCTGGCTTATTTCACTTAGCATAAAACTCTCTAGGTCCAGGGCGCCTGGGTGGCTCAGTTGGTTAAGCGACTGCCTTTGGCTCAGGTCATGATCCCGGAGTCCCGGGATCGAGTCCCGCATCGGGCTCCCTGCTCAGCGAGGAGCCTGCTTCTCCCTCTGACCCTCCCCCCCCATGTACTCTCTCTCTCTCATTCTCGCTCTCCCAAATAAATAAATCTTAAAAAAAAAAATTAAAAAAAAAACTCTCTAGGTCCATTTATGTTGTCAAGAATGTCAAGATTTCATTCTTTTTTTATGGCGGAGTAATATTCCATTGTGTATATATATCACATCTTTATCCACTCATCTACTGATGGACAGAGGTTGTTTGCTTCCACATCTTGGCTATGCAAATAATGCTGCAATAAACACAGGGGTGCATATATCTTTTCGAATTAAGTGTCTTTCTTTTCCTCAGGTAAATATCCAGAGGTGGAATTACAGGATGGTATGGTACTTCTATTTTTAGTTTATTGAGGAACCTCCATACTGTTTTTCATAGTGGCTGCACCAATTCGCATCCCCACCAACAGCAGGTTCCCTTTTCTCTACATTCTCATCAACACTTGTCATTTCTTGTCTTTTTGATACTAGACATTCTGACTGGCATGAGATCTGACTGAGGTTTTGCTTTGCATTCGTAGCTGGTATTTTCAAATTGTGTTCCAAAATGGTTGTACTAATTTACATCTTACAGTGTATGACAATATCCAGTTCCCACAATTAACACCTAATATTATCAATCATTTTAATTTTTCATAATCTCATGGACAAAAAAAGGTAGTATCTCAATATTGTTTCATTTTGCATTTCCCTGTCTTCTAGAGAAGTTGCCTATCTTTTCAAATGTGTATTGTCCACTTTATTTCCTTCCCTGAGACCCACCTAATTCATATATTTTCTTGGCTTTTCTGAACATTTTTCTTATTTCTTACTTGTAGCATCCTTTTATATACATATACTCAATATTAACCATTTGTTATATACATAGTAAAAAAAATGTTCTCCTTGTATGACTTTTCTTACATATATTTTTTGTTGTCAGAACTACAAAATTTTGATGTTTAATTAAATTTACCTATGTTTTCTTTTATGGATTTTGCACTTTGTATCTGAAGGGTTTTCCAATTCCAAGGTTATAAATATACTTTCCTATATTTTCTTATTTATGGCTTTTGTTTTTACTTTTAAATTCTCAACCTTAATTTCTATATATGCTATTATTTCTTTGTTCCTTGGTCCATGTAAAAATATCTATCACAGTATTAACTTCAATCTCATAACTGCTCACATATATTAATGGAAATATAATAAAATAGAAACTAAGTAATTCAAAAGAAAACACAACTTAGTTGGAAAAAACAATTTTGCCTATAATATCTAAATATTTTGCATTCTAAATTACATTTGATAAAGCACTCACAAAAATGTATTTTAGGAAGAATGGGATGATTGCTTACATTCTAAAATGCCTTGTTCTATAGAAGTATTTAAAAGCATCATTGCAGTGGCAGCATCAATATCAGATTCTGAAAAAGGAAAAGAGTAACAATATTAATGTTCTTTATAAAAGAGAGGCTATTATAAGTATTCTCAAAGGTAACCAACGTTAAGAGTTGGTGTATATTCTTTTACTTAAATACATACACACACACATTAAACAAAATGAGACACATTATTCTGCAATCTGTTTTGGTTCACTTAAAATTATGAACAGTTTTGTAGATAGTATCGAATAAAGGAGAATTGAGAAGTACTATAGATAATAAAATTTCTTATGATTTTCTTAATATCTAGCTTACTTTACTGTAAGAAGACAGTATGTTATTCAAAAAGCATACAAAATATGTGTTCATCAACTGTGTATGTCATCACTAAGGCTTCCAGTTAACAGTAGACTATTAGTAGTTAAGTTTTTGGGGAATCAAGTTATACATGGATTTTTTTAACTGCATAGGGGAAGGAGGCAGGGGTCAGCACCCCTAACCCCGGCATTGTTCAGGGGTCAACAGTAATTAACTAAAAATGTACACTAAGGCATTATTACTTTTTAGCATTTTTACCTTTAAAAAAAAAGATTTATTTATTTGAGAGAGAATGAGAGAGACAGAAAGAGAAAGGGAGAGAGCGCAAGCAGGGAGAGGGCCAGAGGGAGCGAATATTGAAGCAGACTCCCATGACCCATGAAATCAGGACCTGAGCCAAAACCAAGAGTTGGACACCCAACCAACTGAGCCACTCAGGGGCCCCTACCCTAAGCATTTAAAAAATATCTTTATCTGTGCATTTCTGCAGTTATGAAGTACTTCATTAATTACATACTAGTTACAGGAGTTAAAAATATGTGTATTTGGTCAGTCTAGATCATGTGAATTTACAAATGCTAAATAAATAATTATTGCTGGCACAAAAGTATTAGTAATGTTTTTAATCATAATTATATATGAGCCCACAAGTACTATAGCCTTCATAGGAAGTCAAACATAATTATGGATATTCCAGAAGGAAAATGAGCTTTAAAAGGATGGTAAAATCAGCAGATTCTACTCCAGATAAAGTCATTATGCTCTCATATCTACTTTTCTGCCAGAAGTTCTTCTCCAGCTTGGTGATCTATTATTCTGAATAACTGTAATTAAATAAAAGTAATATGGTATAATCTAATGTGAAGGAAAAGTTAGAAAATATTTAGAAATTTTAGGGGTGCCTGGGTGGCTCGGTTGTTAAGCGTCTGCCTTCGGCTCAGGTCATGATCCCAGGGTCCTGGGATCGAGCCCCGCTTCGGGCTCCCTGCTTGGCAGGAAGCCTGCTTCTCCCTCTCCCACTCCCCCTGCTTGTGTTCCCTCTTTCGCTGTGTCTCTCTCTGTCAAATAAATAAAATCTTAAAAAAAAAAGAAAAAAATATTTAGAAATTTTAGATTACAAAGGATGTTTAAAATAAGATTCAGATATGAAACTTCCCATTTCTATCTCAAAGCTAGAAAATTATTACCCTGTTTTCCATTTTATTTGTAATACCTAATTATAAAGTTATTTTAGATAATAAAGCCATAAAGATATTGACTTGTTTTCTCCCCAACTTGACCATAAACTCTGTGAAGACAGAAAAAGTTAATGACTTTACCAAACAGACGTAAGTAAATCAGAAGATGGTTGTTATGAAAGAGCATATCATACTACAACTCTTTCCCCTTCAATAAACTGTGACCTTGTTAAACAAGAGTCTCTATGAATGCCTTCCCAATTAAGATAGGAACCGGTCTTATCCCCTATGTTCCACAATGCCTGGAACAATAGTAGGTCCCAAATAAATGTGTCAATAATAAAGTATATGATCTCTTTGCCCTCCTTTCCTTAGATTAAGCTAATTATCACCAAATTACTAATGTTGGGTATCAATGGGCTTGGCCTGTTCTATTTTTTTTTTTTAAGATTTTATTTATTTATTCATGAAAGACAGAGAGAGAGAGAGAGAGAGGCACAGGGAGAAGCAGGCTCCCAAGGAGCAGGGAGCCCGACGCGGAACTCGATCCCAGGACCCCAGGATCATGACCTGAGCTGAAGGCAGACACTTAACCATCTGAGCCACCCAGGCGCCCTGAGTATTATTAACTCATCTAATCCTCACAACTTTATGATGTGGGTACTATTAGTATTTCCATCTTAAAAATGAAAAAAACAGACACAGACAGGTCTCTGGGGGGCGGGGTGGAACTTGAACTTCTCAGTAGTCTACTTCCAGAACCTAGGCCTTCTATTTGTACTCTATCAATCATCAATCATTAATACTCACTACGTATCCATGACTAAAGTAGGAAATTCTGCAGGATTTACAGAATATACTGGAAATTCTCTATTCTGTTATTCACTCAATAAAATGAGTATCCTGTTATGAGCCAGACATCATTCCAGGCTGTGGGAATATAGCAAAAAACAAAACAGGAAAACTCCTACCCTCTCAGAACACAAAGGAATAATTAAAACACAGTATGTCACAAGGTGACAAACATGAGGGAGAGAAACTAAGTGGAAAGGGGGATAGAGAGCGTTGGAAAGGGTGACTGCACTTTAAATACAGAGGTTAGAGAAGGCTTCAAGAAGAAGCAAGCGTTGAGCAAAGATTCAGGGAGATGAGAAAAAGAAGACATCCGAAGGAAAAGTATTTCAAGGCAGAAAGAACAGTAAGTAAAAAGAGTATGAATCAGTGTTTCTCATGTCATAGCCAAGAAAAGATCTCTCCAATTCTAGTCTTTTAGAATGAGACCTGACTATAATTTGATAGAGTTCAGTATTCTAACATGTCTTTGAAGAAGAAAAGGTTCAGACTCTAGCCCATATTGTATCTCTGTGTGAATTGGAAAAAAGCAAGTCTGCCTCCAGGTGAATGCTTCCCTGTACGAAGGCACACAGCTTGAAGACTGGAGCGTGGGCTGGATTTCAGACCCCACTCACTGCCTCAGCCAAGTGGCCCTGTGCAGGGCAAATCTTGCATGGCATTATGCAAAAGCCCTGACAGAGAGTTTCCTGTTCCATAAAATAATTTTTCTTTTAATAAAAAAAGGTCTACCTTGTTTCCAATTTCATTTAAAAAAAAAAAGGAGGTGATGGTGAGGGAGAATCTAACACTGAAAGCATAATGAGGAAAAAATTTCAGAAAATTTATAATCTTATAAATGAAGTACCTATACAATCTTATCAAAAAAGTTAAGTGTATCTCCAGTTTAACTTCCTATAGTAAACTTTCATTAGAATTCAAGGAGTCATATTTCTTAAAAACAATACCTAAAACTAAAGAAAATTGGTGAGGCTTATCCTGACAACATAAGAAAGCTACATGGACACTTCTCTTCTTAGTTTCCAAATATTTAAAATGATAAAATTAGATACTATTTTTGTAACAGTAGAAGGACAGGAAAAGTGTACCTTAAACACATTTATTTCTTGTATAGATTTATTATAACCAAATTAATTTGAATTCTCCCACATGAAATTAACTTTATGAAACCGAAAACCTCCCTGCAAAAGAATTTTATCTATATGTAATTTGTTTGGTTTCAAATATTTTAGGTATGCTTCCCATAATGCCTTGCCAATTAGCTCCAGAAAAATGTCTAACTGCAAGAGAAATGACCCCAAACACTCAGTAATCAAGAATACCTGATTATCAATGATTTGACCAAGGTACAATCTTGAACTTCTTAGAACAAATACAACAAAAACTCTGTGTAGACTTTACAAACAATTTTTATTTAGAGTACCCAATCTGTTTTAGTATTAAAATTAAACTGAAGACTTACGTGTTTATTGTCACAACTGAAGACACTTCATGTTATTTTTTCACTAATACTTTAGCTATTTAAAATGTAGCTGTGTTTTTAAAAACATACTGTTAGCTAGGTTACCACCATATCTAGTTCATAAAGAATAAAAATTTGGTTCTTTTATAAAGTCTTTTGTATATATTTTCTCTGACACTATTTACTTTAAGCAAATAATTCACTTCTAGTTGAAAGTCATTTGTCATTAAGAGTCATGAGATCCACCCAAATAGTGATTAAAAAAACCCACTTAGTTCAGTCATATTATTTCTCTTTTTTTCCTTCATAGTTCTGACTGGAGTTCAAAACATGCTACTGATTTAATAATTGATTCAAATAAATTTCTGTCATAAGTGTTAATTTGTATGTCCTGGTTTATATTTCCTTAGCCTTGATGCTGGGAAATCACTAACAATAATTGAGAAAAAAATTCTAAGACACTAGGTTCAGCTATGTGAAACTGAGGGTTATGACACAAACTGACACATTTCTGTTATCTGATTCTCAATCCATTTGCTTAAGGAATGATATGAGAACCATAGAGGCATAATTTAAATTGTTATAAGCTCAGTAATAACTATAAGGACTTATTACATCTATCAAAGCTAACATACACATTTACAGAGCATCCAAACACAGAAGCTGTCTCTTGTGATTCTTTAATAGAGGAGAGCAATTTTGATAAACTGCCAATACTTTAAGCTGCTTGGACCACTGGTTTAGTTTCATTTCTATTAAGATACAAATTATGCTAATTTGGAATCTTAAATTTGAACCTAGATTTGCACTTAGCCCCTAACATCATCAACTGTCCTAAAGTCTATATTTGCTTGTAGTATACTAGTGCTTCAGTATAAATACTGTAATTCAGTAACTAGAATGTGAATTCCATTTTTGTCATTTTGTTCACTGATGTATCCTTGTGCCTAGCACACAAGTATGTTCAATAAATATTTCTTAAGCAGATGAATTTATTCTAAATCTATACCAAACCAAAATATTGACAAAAAAGATTTTGTTTTGCTATCTCAGTATGAGATTCCTGTGCCTCCTGCCCTCTGTTATACAATACTGTAACATATATATTGGCACAGAAAATTAGTCATTGTAAGGTGAGCAAGAGAGACAACTACACTTTAAAACTGCTGCACCTACTTTGGGTGATAGTGACTATTTCTGGAATTTCTCCGCCTAAATAAGTTCTCCTATTGCTCTTATGTGTTTGAAGGTAGCTCTATTACAATGATTAGTAAAGATGATTTTGTGAAGTGATAGATGAATCTAATACTGGATTCTAATACTGGAACTCAATGACACCTAAGTGACCTTAATAAAACACAGAACTGACAATGTTGCCTCATTCTTCAAAGCCCTTCAGCTCCCTCAATGCCTCATACCTAGCAGGAGTGTGGGTTCTGAAATCAGAGTTTCTGAGTTCCTTGTATGCCTTTTACTAGTGATGTGGCCATGAGAAAGTTACTTATCTCTCCAAACTTCAGTTTCCTTATTAGGTAAGAATACCTCAAAGAGTTGTAAGTATTAAATGAGATAATGCACTTAAAGCACCGTAGTAAGGAACTCAATGCTAATGTTATAATTATAGGAGTTCAAACTCATTACACTAAATAAGTTCTCCTTGATTTGGCTAATGCTCACTTAAACTTCTTCATTTGGCTTGCTCATACTAAATGATCACATCTACAGCTACTGGACCAAGGCTGCCGAATCCTCTTCTATAATCCTAGGCTTCAGCCATACTCACTGGCCTGCAGTTCCTAGCAGATACCCTCCAACAAGGTCAAGTATTTCCCCAACTTCTGAGGTCCAGCTCAAGCACCACTTTCTTTTCTAAGGGGACTTTTCTGATCTACCTCTAAGCTTACTTTGCCACTTACTTCCTTTTTCCCCAATGTACTCTGCATAATCTTCTCAACCTTCTTCAATTAAACTGTACAGTTTTTGAGAGCAGGTCCTGGATCTCTTTCATCTCTGCATATCCCAAAGCACCCATACATGACTTGGCACTATGTGGGAATTCAACAATTACTTGTAGAATAAACAGTTGAATGTTTAGTCCATTTAGTGCTGTGTTTTTTCCAAACTTTTCTCTAGAAATAATATCGAGAGAAGAAAAAGCAAATTTCCTCTTAAGTCTATCAATAGGCCCTAAAGCAACCTGATTTAAATATAAATTTTCTTAAGTTTTTGTGTGGTCTTATGTTTTCCTCTAAAACTCATAAGAACTGTATATTCTATTCCAGGACAGGCCTGCATTTGTTTTAACCTGGAACTCCAAAGCCCCTTGCCATCAAGCCTAAGACTCACCAGTACAGAGATGGAGGGAACTAAGCTATTAGCAGCACTGGAGAGATGATGCACCATATGTCTAAGTCATTAGACGGAGGAGAAGTGCTAAGCTCTAGTTATGAAAAACTGTGGCTAAAACTCGCAGTTGCGGGGCGCCTGGGTGGCTAAGTCAGTTAAGCATCTGCCTTTGGCTCAGATCTTGATCCTGGAGTCCCAGGATCGAGCCCCATGTCATGCTCCCTGCTCTGCAGGGAGTTGGCCCCTCCCTCTCCCTCTGCCCTACCCCCCGCAGCTTGCTCACTCTCTCTCAAATAAATAAATAAAATCTTAAAAAAAAAAAAAAAACTAGCAGGAGAAAATTGTACAAGTGTCTGCTCCCCAAAAGAAGCAGCAGAATTAGGATAGAATGGAATAAGAGCAAGAAGAGATTCTAAATAAACCCAGAATTCACAAAGAAAATGTTCTCAAAATCTGTATATGAACTGAGCTTGAAAGAAAGACTAAAGGTCAGAACTTATTGGGATAATAAAAATATGCAGTTTCTGCAATGCCTAAATGTAAAGAGAAACCACATCTATCCATGCAGGAAGGAGAAAATGGATACTTGCATTATGTTAAGCCAGAACATTATCTGAACATACCCTCAATCCACTTAACTTCTTTGCAGAATTCTCTTCAGCTTTTTCACACCCTTTCCCTCCCTCATTTTTATAGACCATCATCACACTGCTTCCTAGCCTTGGCTTAGTGTAGTTTCAAAGAGCCAAAATGTGTCTGATACACAGAAAAGACTTCTGGTCTGCAGATTTCTGTTTTTAAAAGTCACAGAAATGTTTCTAGGCCTGAAAGCAACAATGCTAGAAAACCTTATGTTAATACATCACTAATTTATAATATTAACTATGAGTAGGGGGCAAAAACTACTAATTCAGAATTTTTATGTACTTTAGAAACGTCATCTACAGAATTCTGAAAGTTAATTTGCTGTCTTCTTAAAGTTCTTTACACTAAACCTATAAAAGAAATATTCTAAACTATATTCTAATCCAAACTTTCTCTGAAGAGGGCCAATAAGTATTTTAGGTTTTGCCAGAGAAGAGGCATAACTAAGGATACAATACAGAGATCTCTGTTGCAACTACTTAACTCTGTTCTTATAGTGAATTTTCACATGCCTTGAAATATTATTTTTATTATTTTTCAACTATTTATAAATATAAACTCACAGGCCACATAAAAACACATGGCAGGCCAGATATGGCCCAAGGCCTAGTTTGCCAATCCCTATTCTAGTCTAAGACTTGAAAAGCGAACTCTATACTGATAGTATTACTAAGAAATATTTTCCTATTTTCAAGGAGAAATACACATAAGAGGAAATGAAAAAAAAGGGATATACAACAGTATACACAGTATGAGCCTAACATTTGGAGAAAAACTGTGTGTGTGTGTGTATGTGTGTGTATGCATGCAGACACATCTACTCATGTGTAAGGCGTAAAAAGAACCAAAGTAATTAAAACTAAATGTTGACGATAATAAAGAGTAAGTTTTAGGGTTTTTTTTTTTTATTTAAATTCAAGTTAGTTAACATACAGTGTATCATTAATTTCAGGCTAGAATTTAGTGATTCATCACTTACATTTAACACCCAGTGCTCATCACATCAAGTACCCTCCTTAATATCCATCACTCCATTTCCCCAACCCCTACCTAACCTCCCCTCCAGCAACCCTCAGTTTGTTCTCTATAGCTAGGAGTCATTTAGGGTTTGTCTCGCTCTCGTTATCCTATTTTATTTTTCTGTCCCTTCCCCTATGTTCATCAGTTTTGTTTCTTTTCTTTTTTCTTTTTTAAAGATTTTATATATTTATTTGACAGAGAGACAGAGAGCAAGCACAAGTAGGCAGAGAGGCAGGCAGAGGGAGAGTGAGAAGCAGACTCTCCACTGAGCAGGGAGCCCAATGTGGGGCTCGATCCCAGCACCCTGGGATCATGACCTGAGCCGAAGGCAGCCACTTAACCGACTGAGCCACCCAGGCACCCCATCAGTTTTGTTTCTTAAAATTTAGTTTCTTTTTATAAATATTTTTATTTTCCAAATCTTCTACAATGAACATGTAATACTTCTATAATTAGAAAAAAATTAAATAAAAAATCCTGATATTTGACCTGAGCTGTTATGATTTAAAATAATGTTCTTACACACATACCTTTGAGGGTTCGCACCTGGTTTTGCTTGAGTACAGAGCTTAAGAAATGAGGTGATAAAGAGCCCCTGAAAAATAAAGATAAGATAAATATGCTTATAAAAACCTTCATTTCACTTTTTATAGAACATAGTCACAAATACAACTAATTTATACAATAAAAAACACAAACTATTTTTACCTTGTTTTCTTTGCTAATACTATTCAGTTTAGAAGAGTCTGCCAAAGCAGAAAGAGCATTAGATCCAAGATTAAATCACAACTATTTGGACGTTCTTAGGCAAAATAATTAATTTCTTAGTTTCTTCATCTGTAAAATAGGAATAATTAAACCTCCCACATAGGGCTGCTGTGATGAATAATAATAATGCATTTAAAATGCCTGTAACAATAGACAATACATAATAGTTACTATTTGGTTTTGTATTGGATGCTTAAGTTTGATATGATATTCATATAGGTGTTACCACAGAAATGAAAGCGTTTATCGAAACAAATGTGTGAAGAGAACTATATGGTAATGATGCAAAACAGATAAGTTCCTGATTTTATTAAGAAATATTAATATCAAATTAAACTTGCTACAGTCATAAAGAGATTAGGAGTCCTGGCTTTTTTTTTTTTTTTAAAGATCTTATTTTTAAGCAATCTCTACACCCAGCATGGGGCTTGAATTTACAACCCCAAGATCAAGAGTTACATGCTCTTTTGACTGAGCCAGCCAGGCATCCCAGTTTTGGCTTTTTTTTTTTTAATTCCAAAAATTAAATCATTTTTGGGACACACTACTTCTGTTCTTTGGAATTTGTGATACCATAAAAAAATCTGTTTTGCTAACTAAATTGTAAGTCTATTTCTCATTCATAGTTTTACATATACTATATTTCATTCTTTTTCTCAACTTACCAATTATGATGTGAAAAGGCTACACAAAGATCTATTAGATGGGACCATCATTTGCCAAACAATGAAAAAGAGAAAATGTTTCTAAAAATATTAAGGTAATGTTTTAAAGTGAAAAATTATCTTTATGCTGTCATTTATCTGTTTTTAAACCACAAAATCATTTTTATTTAACATATGATAAAGCTAAAAGATAAAAATCATGAAAATGCAACCTATCAAAGGCACAGTGAAGTGCATATCTGATGGTATACAACAGTGTCAATTCTCTCATTTAATCTTGAATTTAAAAAAAGCATAGCTAAATAAAACACATAAATGACCATAAACAGAACTTACCATTAGTTTCTAAATTGTTTTTTTGTTTTAAACTAGGATACCTCATAAGCACCAACATTAACTGATAAAGAAGATACCAAGTCCCAAACAATGAGGATATAAACTCTGATAACTTTTCTAGGTTTCATTTCATAAAGATAAATCACTGAATCGTTCTTGTGACAATAATCCTTCCAATCTTCTAGTAAACAAGCTTAAAATCTCAGTGAGAAGATATATATTACTAATTTCAACTTTAGCCTTACTAATATTTTATTGTATTTCAGCTACAACCACTCCACTTAAAGTTATTTAATAACAATTTAAGAAATTAAACATTGTATGGAAATATTGATAATTGTTGCAGCTGAAGAAGTTCATTATAGTTTTCTCCCTCCTTTTGTGTATGTTTGAAATTCTCCATCTAGCATTTTATTAAAAAGCTTTTAAAATTTTCCAAAAAACAAATTAGCCATGATAAGGCCACCCTCAAAAGTATCACAACAAAATCTGGCATTTTCAATTCAAACAAATGTACATAATAGAATTAAAAAAAAAATTCTGAAGGCTTCTTTAGGAAACGGAAACAAAATCAGATTTGAGGTGTCATATTCAGCTTTGACTTAAAATGGGAAAGCTGTAAGATCCATAAGAGTCACTGAGTTTGAAAACAAGAGCCAAGGAAATACATTACAATTATATTTACCAGCAGAAACAAAATAAAAAAGTCAAAGCATTATTTTGTCAGACATTTTAAAACTTGAGACTGTGAACATAATTTTCAAATATTAAATGTGTTGTGAAAGAAAACCAAACTTAAAATAGAAAAAGATACAAATATATCCATAAAAATGTTACAATGACAAACTGTTAAGCATCTTATTTTAAAAAGCTTAAATATACTTTTAATTTCCCATGTCTTTAGTCTGCATAAGTATTGCAGGCAATTAAAATAATTTAAACTTTTTGTACCTGAAATTATTGTTATAACTTTCTGTAGGGTTTACTTATACTCAGGAGTGACTGTATTTTACAGAATTTATGTTCTCACCTATCAAATATCCTGTTTCCTAATAACACAAGTTAGACTATAAGTAAAAATGCCTTAGGCTAATGTCTTAACCATAAGTTATTCTCTATGCAATTAAAAAAAACCCCGAAACCTTACAACTTTGTTAGGTTTTTCCATGTCATACAATGAAATCTTATGTCACCATTGACACTTATATGGAAGATCCTGTACCTTTGTGGAGATGCAGGAGGGGTGTAAAATGTTAATGCTGAGGGAAAAGGTTGCTTCTTCAGTGCCTGCATAAGGTTGGGTTTATATTCTGGATCAACACACCATAAGGAACCTTTTCCATTAACCTAAAATAAAATACACAAGAATTATTAATGTGAAAATTTAAGACATACACAATCAGTACCTGAATGTTTTCACTAAATGTGTGTGTGGGGAAAAAAATCCAACAGTATGCTTTTGAGTACAATGCAAAGGTTGAATTAAGCTTGCTGTAAGTGCATTGTATGGTCAAAAGCCCTGGAGGCAGGCTGCCTGGGTTCTTAGCTCCAGCTCTGCCATTTACCTGTTGTGTGATCTTAGGAAAATTAACCAACTTCTATCTCTCCAGGCCATTACTCCTTCATTTGGAAGGTAGGGATGATAACACTACCTATTTCATAGGGCTGTTAAGTGGGTTAAATTATGCATAAAGTACTCTGCATGTTGCCCGGCACATAGGGCCACAGGACATGACAATCACTTCATAGTCTGTGAGAATGGTACAACCCCAAGATGTACAGTGAACAGCATGGTGGGCTGTACAATGTGGTCCTCCACATGGTAAGATTTAACAAATATAAGCCATTATTGTTACTATTATAGAAAAACCAGAAAGAAAAGGAAAAATTAAGCTTTCTATGCAGCATCATTTCCCCAAAAGTGATAAGCAATATGAGATCAGGTGATACAGCAAAAAATAATTTTTATTTTTTAATGGCATTAACAGTAATGCTTAAGTTCTCATTTAAAGTAAGTTTAAATTTAAAAAGCAAATGATTTCAGGGACTCCTGGGTGGTACAGTCAGTTAAGCAACCAACTCCTGATTTTAGCTTGGGTGTGATCTCAGGGTTGTGGATTGAGTCCAGCACTGGGCTCCGCACTCAGCGCAAGTCTGCTTGAGATTCTCTCCCTTTCCCTCTGCCCCTCCCTGTGCTCACGTACGTGCTCTCTCTCTATATGAATAAGCAGAGTCTTAAAAAAAAAAACAAAAGCACATGGTTTCCTGAAAAGCACAGCAAAAGTTTCAAAGAGTGGTAAGTCAACAACTGAGGTATGAAAAAGACTCCTGTAAAAGATAACAGGGAGGAAGGAAGAATCAGCCCTTCCCTCAAGATGATTAAGTTACAACATTTGAGTGACTTTTATTTTTTTTTATTTTATTTATTTATTTTTTTTAAGATTTTATTTATTTATTTGAGAGAGAGAGAACAAGAGATAGCATGAGAGGGAAGAGGGTCAGAGGGAGAAGCAGACTCCCTGCCGAGCAGGGAGCCCGATGTGGGACTCGATCCCGGGACTCCAGGATCATGACCTGAGCCGAAGGCATTCGCTTAACCAACTGAGCCACCCAGGCGCCCTTGAGTGACTTTTAGATAACATGGCAATGAGCACACAAATCCAGATTCCATTGAAATAATCAACAGAATCTAAAAATTATGGAATTTTTATGATTACTGGAAACCAGAGAAACCATTAACAAAAGTGCCTGCTAAATTTCAAATGGGAGGTGCCTGAAAGAAGGGCTTGTGTGATCCACAGTTCCCTCAATATGAAGGAACAGCTCATAGGAAGGTAAGTGGACAAGATATATGAAAAACCTCACTAATATTATCTAACATGCAGGGAAGAAAGCCAGGCTATGAGATAATTCCTTCAAATAGGTTTGAAAAATGCTGTACATTTTACTTCCCTCCTTCTTAGAAGGTCACACCACACACCAGCAGGTTAAGGGATCTAAATAGTCTTGCTATCATTATACTTGTTTTATATGGTTTCCTAAAGTTACCTGACACAGAACCTCCTTCTCCCTGGTAGTATTTGAGGAGTTTAGTGTTCTATGGAACACTTATGAGAAAAACTGATGTAATTAATTCTTGTAGAATATACTTTCCAAATATTAATGGAAATAACTACACTGATCAGGCCAGGAGGAAAAATAAATTCCCTCTTACAGTTCACAATTTTAAGACTGCAGTACAAAAAAAAAATATTAACAATCCCAACAACAACAAAATTCTGACCACTTGGAAATTTATAATACTCTTAGATTAAAAAGATATCCAAACTGCAATTATAGATTATCTAGTAAATAAAGGGTATAAACACAGTTATATGAAAACTAAGAGAATGTGGCCAAAGGCAAATTTATATCCACTTTCATTCATTTTTTTAAAAAGATTTTATTTATTTATTTGACAGAGAGAGAGAGAGAGAGCATGAGCACAAGCAGGGGGAGCAGGAGAGGGAGAAGCAGGCTCCCTGCTGAGCAGGGAGCCCTATGCGGGCTCCATCCCGGGACCCTGGGATCATGACTTGAGCTGAAGGCAGCCGTTTAACCAACTGAGCCACCCAGGTGCCCCTCATTCATTTTTTTAAAAAGACTATTTATTTGAGAGAGCGTATATGCACATGAGGTGGAGGGACAGAGGGCAAGAGAACCTCAAGCAGACTCCACACTGGGCATGGAGCCCTACTGGTAGCTCAATCTTACGACCCTGAGACCTTGACCTGAGATGAAACCAAGAATCAGACACTTAACCAACTGAGCCACCCAGGTGCTCCTATCCACTTTCATTCTTTTTTTTTTTTTTTAAGATTTTTATTTATTTTTTGACAGAGAGAGAGAGCGAGAGAGGGAACACAAGCAGGGGGAGTGGGAGAGGGAGAAGCAGGCTTCCCTGCTGTGCAAGGAGCCCAATGTAGGGCTTGATCCCAGGACGCCGGGATCATGACCTGAGCCGAAGGCAGACCCTGAACAACTGAGCCACCCAGGCGCCCTATCCACTTTCATTCTTAAACAACAATTGAAGTATCTGAAATAAGCTTTTATCATATCAGGAGAAGGGGGGGAGAGAAAATTACATGTTATATAATATAAATATATTATATGAAAATTGATAAATTGTTAAACTAGAAATCAGGAAAAGAATGGAACTGATAAATCAAGAGAGTATTCTAAAAAACCGTCAATACGCTACACACCCTAGTTGAGGTAGTCAAAGGAAATAACTGAAGAACTTTAGAAGCTGTGATTGAGGGTGCCTGGGTGGCTCAGTTGGTTAAGCGACTGCCTTCGGCTCAGGTCATGATCCTGGAGTCCCAGGATTGAGTCCCGCATCGGGCTCCCTGCTCAGCGGGGAGTCTGCTTCTCCCTCTGACCTTCCTCCTTCTCATGCTCTCTCTCTACCATTCTCTCTCTCTCTCTCAATAAATAAATAAATAAATAAAAAAGCTGTGATTGATTATCTATCACCTGCTAACTCTTCCTTCAGGATAAATCTCTTCTACTTCCTTAGCTGAACATCCCTAACTGCACATCTTGAACAGAAGCTGGACTACAAGTATATCCTTACACATGTACCACATCCGTAGTCTACATACAGAACTCCATAGCCATGCAAGAAGGAGATACAAATTCAATCTCATCTCACTTCCCCAGAGCTAAACACTACTTGTACAGTGGTTAAGAGTGTGAACCTTGGAGCCATTTTGTCTTCTTGGGAATCCTGGCTCTGTCACTTAAGAGCTGTGTAATCTTCAGAAAAATGTGTATGTTTCCTGTATATTAGTATGCTCAAAATAGAACTATATAAAAAATAGTACCTACTTCACTTTAAGAATTACTGAATTAAAAGAGTTAATTCACATAAAGTGCTTAGAACACTGACAGACAATAAGCACTCAATAAACATTGGCTACTGCTGTTGATATATGTTCATTTTCTTTGTAGTTTCAAAATTTGTTCCTGTTTCCTCCAGTCTAATAGCATGCAAATTTGTTTTTGTTTCTATTACACCAGATATTGGCATTACATTTTAACAAATATTTTTGAAGATTTTTTTCTTTTTCTCTACAAATACTGAAAACCAACTATAAGGTATAACCTTCCCCCTCTCCCACCACATGATGTACAAAACGTCCTCAGAACTCATTAAGATTAGTGAGATTCAAACTGGTAATTTCTGTTTTTATATTACATCTTTTCTATTTAAAAAACCCTTTCTTAAAATCTGAATTGCACTTCACAATTACATTAAGAATTACTTGGACAACAATAAAATTTATGTGTGTTCTATTCCCCCGGTTCCTTTTTGTTTATATAAAATCCTCTATGATGAGGCGCCTGGGTGGCTCAGTTGTTAAGCGTCTGCCTTCGGCTCAGGTCATGATCCCAGGGTCCTGGGATCGAGCCCTGCATCAGGTTCCCAGCTCTGCTGGAAGCCTGCTTCTCCCTCTCCCACTCCCCCTGCTTGTGTTCCCTTTCTCGCTGTGTGTGTGTGTGTCTCTCTCTCTCTGTCAAACAAATAAAATCTTAAAAAATAAATAAATAAATAAATAAAATCCTACATGATGTAAGCTATTATGATTGCTTAAGATTTAACGTGATGAATTCCAGAATGCTACCATTTCCCAAACTCTTTTTCAAGGTAATATTATTCTATTACTGAGGCTCTTTTATCTTCTGAACATCATGTCATAATTATTACAGCAGAATGGTATAATGTAAGAACAGTTCCACAGGTATAAAAACTGAGGTCCTAATCATTGCTTATGTTATTGCACAAATCATTTAATCTGTTAAGAGTCAGTGTTCTTATTCATATTTTATTCGTAAAATCAAAAAAAAAAACAGTCCACTTCACTGAGTTGTGATTAGATTCAAATAAGATAATTCAGGGTCACCTGGGTGGCTCAGTCATTAAGTGTCTGCCTTCGGCTCAGGTCATGATCCCAGGGTCCTGGGATCGAGCCCTGCGTCAGGCTTCTTGCTCAGCAGGGAGCCTGCTTCTCCCTTTCCCTGCCGCTCCCCCTGCTTGTGTGCTCTCTCTCTGTCAAATAAATAAATAAAATCTTTAAAAAAAGAAAGGTAATTTATGTGTAAGTGATATAGAGCTGCAAAATAAATGAATACTTATTTCTGGGGGTTATTCTAAAATTGGCATTAAGTTAGAGTTTATTTTTTTTTTAAGATTTTATTTATTTATTTGACAGAGAGAGCGAGCGAGAGAGAGAACACGAGCAGGGAGAGAGGCAGAAGGAGAGAGAGAAGCAGACTCCCCACCGAACAGGCAGCCTGACGCGGGG